ATCTAAAACATACATGTAATGTATTTGAATGAATATTTTATAACCATACATATGATTTACATGTTGCTTTATAATATTTTGTAAAAGAAAAATTGATTTTCAAATAAAGTAGTTTTTGAAATTCAATTCAGAGATTACATTTGCAATGTTCAAAATTATTAATAATTCTTATAGGAGCTTAAAGTTACAATAAATAAAAGTTATTTAACAAGGTCGATACCATTGATAATTTTTAACTACCTGCTGTTGTGGTAGGTATCCTTGTCATTTCAGAATAATACATTATACAAAAAATTAACTTTGATTCTGGTTTGTTGAGATTTGAAAAACAAAAGCCTTAATTTTGCTGAAGTATTGTAAAAAATAGTTTCAATATTGATGTGGAGAATGAAGTTTTAATTCTCTATAATGAGAAGGTTTGAGTTTCATTAAAATAATTGCAAAGATGCTTATTAACTGTAAATAGTGGAATTTTTGAATGTGGTTTTTTATCCTGAAGATAAGATAATGTTTTGGAAAAAATAACATTCAGTAAAACAATCTGTATTGAAAAATAAAGAAGAAACAGTCTTTGTCAATATTTTTTGTCTATGTGTAATTAATTTAAAATTTTCAACTTACTCCATTAATAGCTATTGTTATTTTATCCTTAGCTGTTGCTTGAAAGTGAGAATAAATGTTCTGCTGATATACTTTATGAGAAAAAAGAATATTTATTACAAACATAATATAAACTCACAGAACTTTTGCCAGATTTCTGTCAACTACATGTATATTTATGAAATTATCCCAAAAGTGTAATGCAACAAACTAATTTATACACAGTATTTAGATACTTGGTGCTTCATCTAACTTCAAGTTGGAAAGCTCGAAGCTTGTCATGTATCAATAAATAACCAAACAAATATAGTACAAGGCTGTTCTGTTTGTTACAACTCTAGTTGTATTACACCAGCTGCAGAGCTGCTAGATATAAAATTGTAACAAGTCCTTTATTCGTTTGTTTCTAAGAGAAATAAAATACATGAAAGGGTAATTTTTCAGGAGCATTTCAGGCCTTATCAAGCCAGCTGGGATATGAAAGATATGTTATGGTTGAGGCACTATTTATATTATCATTTTCATGAACAACAACTGTTATGGTGTGAACTAGACTAAGTAAGTGAAATGTAATTATTAACAACATTACGTAAGTCATGTGCAAATCAGAAGTAGGGTAAGGATTAGTAACACACTGTTATTTATTTTTAACACCAGTTATTTATTGTTATAATTATTTTTATTTGAATTAATGTTACCAACATTTTGAAGAACTGTCAAATCAGCAAGCTAGTCTTGTTCCTGGAGTGGGTCAAGCAACCAAGGCATCAATGGGAGAAAAGTATGTTAATTCTAAGAACCTGTGAGTAAAACTATAAGTCTCCTTATGTTAAGGAGACTTATAGTTTTATAAGCTTAATAATAAATTTTGTCACAGTAATTATTAAAAGTTAATAATAAGTACTAGTATATATACAAATTTCATTCAAAATGTATTTTAAGTAATGATTCTTTTGTAAAATTGGATATAGATGAGCTTCAGTGTTGTCTCGATTATGTTTCCATCAATACTGTTATTGATCAAACCCTCATATAGTGTATATTTAGATGGAAACGATATCAATTGTAATAGCTAAAGAGGGAAAAAGTGGTAACAAGTGCTCAGCAATAAACACCAAAAAATAGTAATATTGATTTAATTTATATACAATTTAAACATAACATAAAGTGAGGTACACCGAAAGAAAGGAAACTTAAATTCTGTAAACCTTTTATATAAGGCTAAAATATTAAAATCACAAAATTTTTTTGAATAATTCATTTGTGTGAGATATTGTTATGTAAAACATAGAGGCTGTGGTTTAATCCTTTATATATTGACATGTGTTATCATGTAATTGCTATGAACATTGTGACAATCTTGGTTGGAATGGTTACAGTTGCAAGCTACAAATCATCCAGATGCTTACCCAAAGTTACCTACACATGTCTGAATTACTAATATGTGCATGAAAATTAACAGAGCACATTGTGCTGAAGATTTGATATTCCTGCCTAACCTTTCTGACAACACTACGAACCTAACCTAGGATGTGGGTGACAACTCTAATGGCAAAGGTTTACATTCTGCTCTTAACAGTGTAGTCACAAACCCTATACTGCTAAACTTTGCTGCCAAGGTGACAAAGACTTCTGTATAGACTTTGCTTTAGCTAACCCCACTTTCAGTATTATCTCTCTTTGTTATAGGAGATTTAATGTCATCAGAAATCACATTGTATGAGGTGTACATGAAGACATGATATAAAACAAAGTGGAAACCCATACAAGGATGCAAAGCTATCTAACAGTGCTTGTGCCCTCAAGCATCTTTCTGCTGTTGAGCAAAGAGCAACTTTGACAAAAAAAACATCCATATGGCAGAACGGTGATACTGATAAACATTTGAAAGCATGTAATGAATACAATCTAGGTTGAGTTCATGCAGATGAAACATGACTCAGCCTTGGTAGAAAGGCAATGATTTCACAGAATAGAGCCTGTGCTTTTGTACAGGTAAATCGGCTTCCATAGCACGAGACGTGAAATCAGGTAATCTGTGCAGTAAGGCCAATCTCACAATAACTTCATTTTGGTGCTAACACAGGAACCAAAAACATGGTGATATCAGCCATACCCACTCTGTACAGAAGAAAACAAAGACAAGGCCATTATATGCACATATATTAATATTTAGGTGTGATGAGATACTCAGAGCCAGGTCTAGATGGTATAAGAATCTCCATTTTTAAGAAGCTTACAGGTATGTATAATTTTGGCAATAGTAGTAATTAGTAGATAGGAGGTTTTTCTTCACATTAATTGCACTGATACATGACATTTCTTTTGAAGTCTTCGCGTAAGAGATGGCAGAATATTCTGGTAGTAGTGCCCAGTAAAACAAGTGGGTAGAGACTAAAAACAACAACAACAAAAAGATATAGCAGAGTATTCTGGTAGTAGTGCCCATTAAAACAAGTGGTAGGTTACCCCCGGAAGTGGTAGAGACTAAAAACAACAACAACAAAAAGATATAGCAGAGTATTCTGGTAGTAGTGCCCATTAAAACAAGTGGTAGGTTACCCCCGGAAGTGGTAGAGACTAAAAACAACAACAACAAAAAGATATAGCAGAGTATTCTGGTAGTAGTGCCCATTAAAACAAGTGGTAGGTTACCGCGGAAGTGGTAGAGACCAAAAACAACAACAACAAAAAGATATGGCAGAGTATTCTGGTAGTAGTGATCAGTAAAACAAGTGGTAGGTTACCCCGGAAGTGTTAGAGACCAAAAACAACAACAAAAAGATATGGCAGAGTATTCTGGTAGTAGTGCCCAGTAAAACAAGTGGTAGGTTACCGCGGAAGTGGTAGAGACCAAAAACAACAACAACAAAAAGACATGGCAGAGTATTCTGGTAGTAGTGCCCAGTAAAACAAGTGGTAGGTTACCGCGGAAGTGGTAGAGACTAAAAACAACAACAACAAAAAGATATGGCAGAGTATTCTGGTAGTAGTGATCAGTAAAACAAGTGGTAGGTTACCGCGGAAGTGGTAGAGACCAAAAACAACAACAACAGAAAGACATGGCAGAGCATTCTGGTAGTAGTGCCCAGTAAAACAAGTGGTAGAGACAAAAAACAACAACAACAACAACAAAAAGATATGGCAGAGTATTCTGGTAGTAGTGCCCAGTGAAACAAGTGGTAGGTTACCGCCGGAAATGGTAGAGACAAAACACAACAACAGCAACAAAAAGAGACGGCAGAGTATTCTGGTAGTAGTGATCAGTAAAACAAGTGGTAGGTTACCGCCGGAAGTGGTAGAGACAAAACACAACAACAGCAACAAAAAAGAGACGGCAGAGTATTCTGGTAGTAGTGATCAGTAAAACAAGTGGTAGGTTACCGCCGGAAATGGTAGAGACAAAAAACAACAACAGCAACAAAAAGAGACGGCAGAGTATTCTGGTAGTAGTGATCAGTAAAACAAGTGGTAGGTTACCGCCGGAAGTGGGAGAGACAAAACACAACAACAGCAACAAAAAGAGACGGCAGAGTATTCTGGGAGCAGTGATCAGTAAAACAAGTGGTAGGTTATCCCCGGAAGTGGTAGAGACAAAAAACAACAACATCAACAAAAAGAGACGGCAGAGTATTCTGGTAGTAGTGATTAGTAAAACAAGTGGTAGGTTACCGCCGGAAATGGTAGAGACAAAACACAACAACAGCAACAAAAAGAGACGGCAGAG